CAGAGGGCCGGTGTGAGACTGAGAGGGTCTGTGTGTAACACTTAATAATATTTGTTTGGAATGTTCTAGCGTGCTTTACTTCTCTTTTCTCTTCCTACTCTCCCTTGTTTGCCTTCTTGCTTTGCTCTCGTGTATTCTTGTGTAGTATTGGGAGAATTGATGACATTATTCTAAAATGTTTTCATGATTGAATTGTGTTATAAAACGGCAAAACATCATGGTTCGCCATATGATAACAAATCTTATTCAACCAAAATACTTTTGATTTTGAAATCCAATCAGTGTGCTCTCCAAAGCTAATCTAACGATCAGCATGCATCACATCGAACCCCCGGTCCCCACACCCGAACTTAATGTCCTCTCAGTGCTACATGTTAGATTCCACTACTGCAGCCCTCCTGCCCCCTCTAGATCACTACGTATCTCAATATGGTCTCATTCTACACGTTCTATTAGCCCTAATTTGTTCCACATTCAATGTGCCTCTCTGTAGTAGTAGTAGTTGCAGTAACTCTCTTATCGTGCTTTTGTGTTCGTTGTCTGCTGTCTGGTAATGTGGTGGCTGTTGATTGTGTACTTCAGGTTCGCTCCTTCTGTAGATGTAACTCTATGGTTGTAGTCTGTACTCTGTTCTGTTGTTTTCGTTTTTCTGTTGTCACTTAAGTTTTCGTTGCCGGCCGTGTCATGTGCTTCTTGCAGTGTCACGTCCTTCTTACAGTGTCGCGTCCTTCTTGCAGTGTCGCGTCCTTCTTGCAGTGTCACGTCCTTCTTGCAGTGTCGCGTTCTTCTTGCAGTGTCACGTCCTTCTTGCAGTGTCACGTCCTTCTTGCAGTGTCGCGTTCTTCTTGCAGTGTCGCGTCCTTCTTGCAGTGTCACGTCCTTCTTGCAGTGTCGCGTTCTTCTTGCAGTGTCACGTCCTTCTTGCAGTGTCACGTCCTTCTTGCAGTGTCGCGTCCTTCTTGCAGTGTCGCGTCCTTCTTGCAGTGTCACGTCCTTCTTGCAGTGTCGCGTTCTTCTTGCAGTGTCACGTCCTTCTTGCAGTGTCACGTCCTTCTTTCAGTGTCGTGTCCTTTTGGCAGTTTCACGTCCTTCTTGCAGTGTCACGTCCTTCTTGCAGTGTCGTGTCCTTTTAGCAGTGTCGCATATGCACTCTCAGTCGCATCTTGAGGGTTCTACTTCTAGTAAAGATACACAGCAGAAAATGTCGCGTCATCCCCTGCTAGTGCTTATTCCTTAATGAGTTAATCAAATGAGCTTTTCTCGCTGGAACTTGAAATATTTCGTTTTTCTATGGCTCACTAGTCTGCATTGCACAGTGTATCTGTTTTTTACCCGTAGGTGATATTTGTCGCAACCCATGTCTCAACCATACATCATATTGTCGCATCTAGAGATCAGGTCATGATTAGGTCTGTAATTAGGAAACACAGAGAACGTCCCCTATTTTCCGGCTGATGCACTCATCGTGTGACCTCACTCTCTAGCCCCTCTCCCTCGCCCCCTCACATTGTCTAATCGATTATCCGCTGTAACTTGGAGTGTAGGTCTGGTATTTGATGTCGTTTTCACTGTTTCGTGTGTACTGAAATTTTTGTGAGTTAGGTTCGTTTTCTTACTTGATGTTGGTTCTGTTTTTACTTTTCCTAATTTAACTTATTATAACTTTGTTATAATTCAGCTTATCTCACCCCTCTCAGTAATTTGCTACTGCATGCAGCACGCTTATTATGACTTTAGCCTTTAAAGCTTTAAGTCATCACTTGACGGTGAGTGTACGTCTCAAAAAGTTCCTCCCCTGACGTTTTAACCCATATATTAACCCTTAAATGGTTCCTAAGTTTGTTTGAAACGTCAAGGATAGAAGACGATTTACACAAGTATTTTGAAAGCTCCTGCTAATAAAATCCTTTCGTATCACTGATATGTTTTAAATATCCCCCTCCAGGTCAAGGATAGAATTTCCTTCGAGACAGTCAGACAGTGGTTTAACGTAACGAAATTTCTTGAAACAGAAGAAATATGCTAGGTCGTTCGTTGTCACGTATACTTGGTATGGTGACTGCTTATTCGGTAAAAAAGTTCGCTTGTAGGCCCCTCCCACCTCTACTCCCTCCCTCATCATTAGGAATCTTCTAGAACTAGAAGTTCGAATTTGCACCCCCTCACGATTTGAATTGTTTTACCGCGCGTGTACTGTGCTTTAACCAGCCAGTTACAGCTGAGGTTACGAGATCCTGGCCATGAGCTTACCCTTTTATTGAGTTTGTAACCGGATAGCTGACCATATGGTGTACTAACTCCAGGCTCTCCGAGTGGGGCTCTCTCTCGTTTTGATTCGGAGTGTTGTTACAGTGGCTACACTCCTTGAGCCTCCCGGAGTGTCTCTCTCTCCGGTTCCAATTGTTTGTTTCTACACTCTACACTCCGCTGACGTTCGATCTATAAGAGTGTTTGTTACAGTTATTACTCCGCTGACAATCTCATCCAGTCTCTACTTCATTAATCATTCTTGAGTCTTTATTAGTTCACGTTCACTGTGTATGACTAGTTCAGTGTTCAGTGTGTATGACTAGTTCAGTGAACATTCTTTATGTTTATAAATAGTATATAGTGGTCAGTGGTCTGCTATACTGTTATTCCACCCGATAGCATGCAGGACTCTTAAATACTAAATAGAGTCCTCTATTATCGGAGTTTAGCTCCAGGTTATTAGCTAATAGACCGGCTCTGTAGAGTGTACCTCAAATATCATGTGGTCTAGTTCCCTGCTGCAGTCTGTTATCTCAATTTTGTCTCTCGTAACATTCTCTATTTGAGGGTCTGTACTGTATAATCCTCTTTTTCCACCAAAATTCGAACCATCTCAGTCTGTGAATCTGTGGAATTAAGAATGCATCATTACCGAAATATTCATAAAAGTTAAGGAGTATACCTAACTGTTGATACACGAGTTTACCAATGTTGGTATAACGTCAAAATTACAGCTCCCAATTCTACATCCTTCATACCTGCCTCCAGTAACTTATATCAACATAGAAGTCACGTGACTCATCATATACACTGTATGTGTGTGAGTCACGTGAGAGGTCTCCTTCTTCTCTTGGTAGCTAGACGTGTAACCTCATTACAGGTCCCTGTGTATCATTAGATCATTGTCTAATCCTTTGTGTGTGTTATAGTATATACCTTTCCGTTGCTGCCTGATACCTACACTGCTGTGTTTTATACATCATACCTGTTGGTAATGGCCGCTAGACTGCCCCTCATTCTGCCCCTCGTTGTACAAAACCACCCCTCTTTGTACTTTAGTGTACGTTATATTGCCACCTTTTGTTGTGTTAGCTGTGATTAACAGTACCTCTTTATTGTCATGATTAAACTCATTATCATTGAGACCTCGTCGTGTGTGTACATGCAACTCCTTAATTTACCATTCATCTGTACAGTTGATCTTGTAGACCAACGACTATTTGAGTGTTACATGAGATACAGTGCGTGTTAGATGTAGATCACATTTAAGTGTTTGATAGTTAAACTCTAATAGTCTACATTGTAGCGTGTTGGCTACATCATAGTGGCTAGTGTGGAAGACTACATTACAGTGTAGGAGCCGTATTAAGATCGTGTGCTTGTTGAATGAACTCCGCACGGCCGTTCTCAACTTTTAAATTCTCCACATGTGATGTACTCAAGGCTTTTAATCTCACTTAGCTAGTCAGTACATTCGTTGTTGATGAGTGTTGTTGTACGCCGCTAAACGCCACTTACTTTCACTGTCTACAAGTTAAGTCTAGGATCATTAGTCTTCAGTTTAATACCTAGATTCTTTAGTCTGGTACCCGGCAAAGATCCAACCCTAGTTATTTACTTGCTTTATCTAGTTTTAGAACCTGTTCCACTTAACTAGTTGTATCAAGTTGAAAAATACATGACATACTTTGTAAATCCTGTTTAACATATCCTATAAGCTGACATGTTCCAATTTTCACTATGACATTGATGAAATCACGCGACTTTCCACAGAACTTGGAAAATCACAACTCTGACGATTTTTTTTCTGTCTGCTGCAACAAAACACCTCTAGCTTATCATTGTTCAGAGTTTTCAGTTATTATTACTCTAACTAAAATCGGATAATTATACTTTCCTCATGAGGTAAAATCTGATAATTGCTTACAAACAGCAGCGACCTAGAGATTGTAAGAAAACACGGTCTCACAGTGTTTGGCATTGGGAAACGTCACTGAAAACTGAAACCTTATTTACCGTCCTCAAATAATTACCGCAATAATAAACATAGCAACTTGTCATATGTTCCTTCTAAAACACTGTCATTATGATTACAGTTACATACTTTCTAGATTTTCCGATAACATTCGACTAAAGTTTATCTCCGGTACAGCGTTCAAAGTATTGTCCATTACTCGTTATGATCTAATTTTACCCGGTATCTAGGCGGCACCATTAATACGGCTCAATAAATACCGTATCAAGTAACAGCACCATCTCCACTCTCTCCGGGCTACCGTGTTGTATTTACACTTGTTCCGATGCCCCTTTGCGTTTTCGTTGTGTTTGAATTGATTGTTGGTTTCGGTGATTGTACGCCGCGTGATTGAAACTGTTTTGGTCTTAACCGGCTTGTGATTGTTTGATTGTTCCCATTGTTCCTTTCTGAACATTTTACGGAAAGTTTATACCCTATTTTTAGTGATGACGTTATTATACGTACAAATTAAGTTGATCTTCACTAATTCTATTTTCCGTGTGCGTTCCTGCTTTTGTATCTTTGTCCCGTCAGGCCTCGATGGTATGGATTTTCTTGAAACATTTTGCACCTTCTCACCCTTTGATATTTATCATTAGTTCTGAGAACGTTTAGTTCGCAATGTTTTGATACCTTGTTATCTGGTCAATAAGTTGACCACTCACTAGAAAAACCCTCTAAGTCACCAGGTGACTTACAAATTACTTAAACACTAATCCCCTACTTCAATAGGATGACTAACAAGTTAGTCCTATACGGGCTACTGCTGCTGCAGTTGACCGCTTTAGTGTTCGGTAAGTGAGTTTGTAACATTTGTTTGGAATGATTTTAGTAGTCATTAAATTCTTAATTTGCACGTTCTTTCAACTATAAGTCTTGCATTGAATGACAGCTTGTCTTTTATTTAAATCAATAAACCATTTACCCTTCTAAACGTACCTTTTACCTAACGCATGGCATGTTGATTTGTTTAAATGTTTAGGATAATCTGAATGTTTGTGCATGATGATTACAAGATAACATGTGCTTGTAGGAGAGTTGTTTGGGAGAAGGAGGAGTCCTGGTAGTAGGAGGAGATCAGGAGATCGACCTAACACTAACATCAAATATGGGGTATCTAATACAAGTTAGTATCAGCAGCCTGTTCTTATCTCATGTCCATTTACTGCACTTTGTAGTCAGTTTTTCTAGTTTTGTGCTTAACTTAAGGCAGTTTTGTGGGTTAAGTTTTAGAAATAAGAGAACTTGTCCTTGAAATCAGTTTTTATTGTCTGGTCCTTGCATTTGAAGACTAGGTTAAGTTAGGATCTCAAATCCATTAGTTATTGTGGTTAACTTTATGGTTAACTCTCGTCTGTTTGCCAGCTCCCTACTTTCCTGATGATCCTGGATTTCTTCAACCGAACAACTCTACTGAACAGGTTACAAACGTGCTTAATTGTTAACAATCAGGATATTGTCTGCTCTCTTCTTGGCATGGTCTATTGAATACTGACATGATTATGAAATCAATAATAACATGATATTCTTGCAAGCATGTGCAACTAAAATCTTTATTATATAAATTTAAAAAACATCTTTTTATGTAACAGGATATCTTGTTTGAAAATATGGAAAGTTTGATAAAGAAACAAATTCTGCGCATGGATGTGTAGCGACATCATTGATCTACTATTTTGGGTTCCCAGTTGACCTTCATTCATTTAGGAGCCTCTATTTTTCCTGTTCCTCCTAGTCCCATTTTCTATTCCTCCAACTCCAGTCCACCTAATTTCTCCCTCTGCTCCACCTTTCTGTCCTTTGCTCCCTCTCCCTCTGGCTGTCCCTGCTCTCTTATATCCCCCTCCATTTTCGGCAATTCTCTTTGTTCGCTAGCTCCCTAACACCCTTTATCTATCCGTCAGATCCGCCTTTCTTTCTTCACCTCTCTCTCTTTCTCAATTTCTTTTTCGGTTCCCACTCCTGGTTTCTGTCCCCGTTCCCCTCCTTCTTTATTTATCTCTCAGATCACTCCTACAGAATCATCTCTCTCACTGACCCTCTAACCTCTACCACTCTCTACCTCTCTTTATATTCCTCTCTATTCTGCTCTGCTCTCTTTCCCCTGACTGTTCTAATACAAGTAAGTAGTATGTAATATAGTACCGCTGTATCACCTAAAAGTGAGGTACCAGTTTCGACAAGAGGGGGGGGGGGGGAGAGAGAGTGTGTGTGTGTGTGTGTGTGTATGTGTGTGTGTGTGCGTGTGTGTGTTTGTGTGGGTGTATGTGTGTGCGCATGTGTGTGTGTGTGTGTATATATATACTGTTACTTTTATGGCATGCCTTATTTTTTAGCTTGTTTTATTATTTACTTGAGTAAACAATTTAAAGTGCAACCGCTACACATACCTATGACTTTTTATGTTTATTTTCTGTAGTTTACTAATATTTCTGTTTTTTTGTCATATTTTTCTCGCAACTTTTTAGCTATAGCATTTTTTATCTTTTTTTATCGGGACAGTTACGACTAAAACACAAATATTGTTTTAGAATAAATTAAAAAGAATATTGAACAAAGTAAAATCGATACAATATATCACCACAAAATAAGCATTATTCAAGTCTAGCATGCAATATAGTTAATCAAAATTTCGTTTACTCACAATTTTTCAATAACTATCGCAAATAAGTGTCAATTACTCTAAATAAAGTTTAATAGGTAAACATTGATCCTATTCTTAATAAAAACAACATTCATTTAATACTTACAAATTTTTGTGTCCATAACTCAAAGTACTAATACCATCGTCTAAAATAAATTTTTTATCGTCAAAACCAGAAAGTCCTCGTTTTTGTACTACAACACTAAAAATCTTGTTTCCAAAAACGCGAATTGTTTGTGACTTTGTCATCGTTGTTGACTGAGTATCTAATACGTTTCTGTAATCTTCATGTCGGATCCGTCTTTGAGCAGCTTTAGCTATCCCTTTGGCTGTGACAGAATGTCCAATGAAACAAGATGAAGTGCATTCATGTTGTTCACTGCACCTGGTTACAAGCTTCTTTGTCATGACAGAGTACATTTTAGGCTTCAGAGCAATAACCTCACTAATTATTTCAGTCGGTTTCTCGTCTGAAAACTTCCCAGGCACTTTTTTGTTGGTGGGGTCATTAAATCTCGACAGTGGGGTATTCTCAACGTAACCTGATAGATCCATAAGTTCACGTATACTGTATAGATCTTCGTACCCATTCTCTGCAAACACACCATAAATGAAGCTATCCGTGTCACTTAGGATGAGTTTTATTCTTTCACCATATTTCGGCTTTAGGACGTCATACCAGAACTCTCCCATGATATGTTTGGCATTTTCCAAAACGATAAATCCGCAAGCAATGGGTTTGTTTAGTACTAAGTTCCGCTTCACAGACTGTACAACAGTAGTTTGCTCATCCAGCATGTGAAATCCAATAAACTGCGGCTTAGAAGTGAGGCGCTTTGCAGATCTTTCATCTTTTACAATGTCAACATTAGTACGATTTCTCAGACTCTCGATAAACTTACCATAAATTGAATTGTTAGCAAGTTTAAAGAAGTCTTTTTCAAAATCGGACTTGGCATTTCGTCTTTTTACCGAGTTAAATTTAATGTATGGAGTGACAAAGTCTGTTTGATCCGCTGCCATAACTCGGTGAATCTTTTCAAGAATCAACCCTTTGCTCAAACATAATTGGAGTGTCTTGAGGGAGCATACAAAATGCTTCTTATCTTTTAAATCGGGAACCAGTTTACGAGAAGACTTGAATTTTTCGTTGTGCATCTCCAAAAACTTTTTATTGTAGGGTGATAACTGATGCTCATAAATCATTTTGCTTTCCACAGCAAGAGGGAAGTCATTGTGGTGATCGTGCAGATGTTTTGGATAATGTAGGTCAACTTCCAAAATATAACAGGTGTCACCTTCGGGATCTAAATCACCAATATTCAACGATCTTATTTCATTCTTACTAAGCCAACGGAAATTCTTACAGGGAAGCTTGAATGACATAGACTTTCCATACAGATTATTCGCATCGACATAGTGAATGAAAGATGTTGGTTTACTGCAATCGTAGTCATCCAAATATGGGTTGTTAGCTTTGAATTGACGATGATTGACAGTGGTAACTCCGCCCCGGAGATTTTTCTCTATAAATGTATACATATCGATATCAGTCATGTACTCAATATTGACTTTTGTCATCTTTAGCATAGCATCCCATGAAAATCCTGGCAAACTCATGTAATGACAGCAGTCAAGGCCGTAGTAATCCAGGCAAAGTTTCCGGAAGTTTTCAAACACATCACATAATAGAAGAGCATCAGATTTTACGTACAGCTCCATGTAATCCAACAATGTTTGACAGTTCATGGTTTTGAAGACATTTTGAGCCCTTGAGTAGTCAGAGTCAGAGATATCCTCATCTCTAAGTTTACTGTAAAATGCCTGCTTTGGAGGAAGATTCTTCTCGGAGAAAACTGAGTAAGATGATGCATAGTCATAAAAATACACACCCTTTTCTGACAAAAGCTCATAGTTTTCCGGGAACTCACGTTTCAGTCTCTTGAAGTTTTCAAGACCAGACTTTTTCATGTTAGCAGTTAACTTTTCCAACGAGGTGGAAAGAAAAGCAAAGCTGTCCAAGAAGGTAAATTTATCTGTAAACACTGCTTTAAACTTCTCTAGTGTCTCAGGAACCACATTTAACTTGTCGACCCTTTTTGTCAAATCCAGCAAGAAAAGGTTTAGATCGTATCCTTTTAAATTGTGTGCGAATGCTGGGACCCTTTTGCTTCTATTGAAGTAGTTGATATTACAAGTATTGCACGCAGCACCTCTAAAGTTATTCTTTTTTTTGAGATGGTCATGATCTCGAACTGGATAATTCGTTCTCGACTCCCAGTTCAGTCTTCTTTTGCAAATATGACAAATTTTAGCACTTTTAAACTTTATTTCATCTTCTGCTGTCATGTCTATTGGGTACTGATTCTTTTCATAGCACTTCATCATATCATCATGGATCTTAGTTAGCTGTGAGATAAACTCTTCAGTCACTTTATTAGGATCTTCATCGCTGAAAGTGACAACTTTGGAGTCATATTCTGAAAACTCTGACACAGTAACAATACAAAAGCTACAGGGCACATGCTTTTGATACTTTTCCGTATAGCTAGAAGAGCCTTTTTTGCTGCAAGAACTGTAAGGTACTGTTAAACATTCAAAGTCAAAGTACACAGTAAATAGTTTCTTGTCTTGCTTGTGAAATGCCTTGAATTCAATGACTCCTGGGTCGGGCATCTTTACTAACTGATTGATCCCTTGCTTGCAGTTCTGGTAGTGTTTGTTATGGTTCTGCAGAGATACAAATCCATGCATACATTTTCGACAGTAAAACATCGTGTTATGATATCTAGAACGATGTCGCATGAATGCATTTAAGTTTTTTATCAGTAGGTAATGGGCACACCCATCATTTTCCAGATAAAGTAGATCAATTTGCGTTCCGACACCACTGCCATGTTTTAGAGGCAAGACTTCTTCACTGTCAACGCACCACTGGAAGACAGAAATTGACAACTTGTTTAACTTCTCAACTTTTGATATATCTTTTATTCTGACTGGAAATTGGACAGAGGCCATATCTATCTTACTGGCGTAAGGTAGATATTTTGTATGTCTATCTGGGTTTTGACCATTAACTGGATACATCTTTGCCAAAATGCAATAAAGGAAGCATTTGGTGTCGGGGGATGCTATGTTTAGGATAGATCT